CTATACGATGGAAGCAAAGACAAAAGTCTGCCTTAGCAACAGGGAACAGGAAGCGTTGGACCGTTAAACCGTTTTTGGAGGGCAATTAGTGGGGGTGGTTTCAAGTTTCATATACATGTGATACATCTTATCAGTAACAAAGTGGTTTAAAATGCGCGCCAATTTTTCGACAGTCAGCTGAGGCGGGCTACGGTTAAATTTCGCGCTCGCGCAATGCGAGGTTCGCGGAGAATTTTAGTGTCGCCTCCTGTCATGGATCCATCATTTGGATTCAACGTAACTAACCTAAAAATTTTAAGTTTGTTTTGTTTATGGAAGGCTTGTATACATTCGCGTAGGTTTGATGGCTATGGTATATACGTTTTTATTAGTTTTCCCTTTGGAAAGTTACTGAAACAAGGAGACAATGAAGTCCTGCGTACGCCATTACATATCCTTATTATCCTTATTCATTGAATAAACAGGGCAAGCGAAGGAGTACCTCAGCGATGAGCGAAAGGGTTTTACAAGTAATCAGCCATAAGGCAGATAGCATTTCCTAAACCTCATCCATTACCAAAACAAACATCACGAACAATATTTTCAATTCAAATAATATTTGAATCGTGTAAAAATTATACATTATATGTTTGAATTGCAATGTTATTTTGTGCAAAGCACAGATTGTCAAACTTTTCCTAAGACAAGTCCAAATGTATTAATTAGCGGTACCGTTTTTCATATAGACACTCAGACAGATGGTTTACTTTGAATATATGTTAAACTCGAACTAGATATAAGATTTTTATGTTCATAGCGAAGTGCCTGCGAATTCGTATTTTGAGCGGATCGGAGAATTAAAACAGTAAAATCTCAAGCAGTAAATAAATTTCTATGAACAGTTTACAATGTACTTTAGTAATTATTTTTGCAATATTCCTTGCCAGAGTCCTTGCACATAGTTGCTGTTTAAACAGTAATATAAATTAATCCTTGCGACGAATCATGTGCATTATTATAAGTGAGTTTCTTCAATAGTTCATCAGTAAAATTCTGTAAGCCCAATCAAAATATTTAAATATCTACCGTTTACTGTTTCATTGTTGTTACACTTTCGTTAGAATATGTAAATTACACTACATAAAAATATATTAAATTTCTCCGGATGAAGATCTTCTGGATCTTAACAGGCAGTGCAAAAGATATTTTTTTTATTGATTATTATTATCTTTTAATTTAACTATTATTCTTGTTATTAACTTAATTCCGTTGCATTTTACGGCTTATATAAAAGCAGGACTTGCAAGACCAAGACCAAGATCAAAACCAAGACTTGCTCTTTTAATCAAGAGAAAGTCTTGGTCTTGCTTTGCTCATCACTAATTAGTTTGAACATTTTAGAAAGTTTTTCATAATTTAACAAGAAGCAATTATGTAAGTGTAGTGTTTGTGTTGTTACACGTTATCAATCGTGAAAGGCATTAAACAATCCCTGTTTATGCAATAAACTTCATGATATATAATGGCGTACGCAGGACTTCATTTTCTCCTTGTTTAAGTAACTTTCCAAAGGGAAAACTAATAAAAACGTATATACTAGTCATAAACGCTAGGCGTATGTAAACAACCCGTCCATAAACAAAACAAAATTGAAAATTTTAGGTTAGTTTGTGTTAGTGTCGTTGAATCCAAATGATGGATCCATGACAGGCGTTACTGCGATGAGCCACTCATAGATAAAGACAAGTGGAGCGACTCGTGACAGATTAACCAGAATATTTTTTTTAAACCAATTTTCAATTTTTTTGTTTACGCCTGTTTCAATACTTTCCACTTGCGTTTTTTGAATGCTCATCTAGAAAATGGCGTCAACTAGGAAGGTAGCTGTGGTGAGTTTTGCCAAACATAATTGGGACAGAAAACCGCAACTGTTCTCCATTGAGGACCCGCGGTTTTTAATAACAAATTCATTCTGTTCTTTAATCAGGTCACCGGCAGCAACAAAGGAATTGGCTTTGCCATAGTCAAAGGTCTCTGCGAAAAGTACAATGGAGACGTCTACCTCACTTCCAGGGACATAAAAAGGGGAACCGCTGCTGTAGAGGCGCTGAAGCAGTTAGGGTTCCCCATGTTAGGTAGCCTCATGTTCCATCAGCTTGACATCACTGACCAGGCTAGTGTAGAGGCTTTTCGCAATCACATCAAGTCCACGCATGGAGGCATTGATGTATTAATCAACAACGCTGCCATTGCATTTAAGGTTGGAGGCTCCAATATGCGGTGCCAGCCAGATTTGTACATCGTCTGTGTTCCAGACGGAGGCCCCCGAGCCATTTGCTGTACAAGCCAAGGAAACTATCCGCGTGAACTACTTTGGCACCTTGATGGTGTGCAATGCCCTGTTTCCGCTACTGCGCCAAAACGCCAAAGTGGTTAACGTTTCCAGTTCAGCAGGCCATTTATTACGCATTCCATCAGCAGACTTGAGATCGAAGCTAAGCAGTGTCTCTTTGGATGTCTCCGGTCTCAACCAGTTGGTCGAGCAATTTGTCCAGTAAGTCAGCGACTTACTTAATTGGCCTTATGCGAACGCTTCAAACCCAAAGGGCAGCTGATGCTGGTAAAAACCAAGAGGAAGGATGGGGATCTTCTGCCTATGCTGTTTCAAAAGTGGCCGTCAGCGCTTTGACGGTGATCCAGCAAAGGGCGTTTGACGCAGAGTCTCCGAGCCGCAACATTGCTGTTAACTCTGTCCATCCAGGTGGGAAAATACGTAAAGGTCCATTTCATTGCAATAAGTTTGCTGTCCGTTTTAGGATATGTGGATACCGACATGTCTAGCCATAAGGGTCCCTTAACCACAGAAGAGGGGGCGCAGGCCCCTCTATTTTTAGCCCTCGAAGCCAATATCAAGGGCAAGTACGTGTGGTTCAACAGTGCAGTTGTCGAATGGGATAAAGCTCTGGAAGTCAACTGAAATCAATCCTGTTTTTACTAGGATAGAAAAACATTTTTCAAATAACTTGAAATTTAATTCAATAAATTGTGTCCATACTCCTCGAGCTTGTTTGGTTGCATATATCAGAACTTTCTACTGACAGTGAAGAGTGACTCGTGTCTAGCGTTAGCGGTAGACATTTTTGAATTCGAGGGTCTTGACAGCTCTGGTGGATGGCACTCAGTTTGAAAACTTTTTAGAGAGTTTTTTTATGCAAAGATTTGCTGACCAAAAAACCTTTCCGAAAAAGCTGCTCCTAAATGTTTTAAATATTTCTCCATTTTTCTTTAACATTTGAAACCATCAACACATGGACACATTTGGGAAGTGTTGCAGCAGCAAATTGGCACCGACTTTTAAAATTCTCTTACCCATGCACAAACACATTTAAATATGCTCCTTCAATCTGTTTTACAAAAATGCTTCAAGGCCCTAAATGTAAATTTTCAAACTGCGCGCCATTCACCGACGCCAAAGCTGCCAAGATCTTCGCATGGCAAAATATCTGGGTTGCCGCTAGGCACGACTGACAAGCTCACATTACAGATCTATGTTACAGACGTCTGTGATCTGTGGTGACAAGTTGAGGTTACATTTTTGCAATTTGTTGTCAGCCAATATTTTTAATTAAAATTTCAGCCCTAAAGATTATTAGAGCACTGCGTTCCATGGCTACTGAAAGTGTTCACACAGTTGCCGAAGACCTGATGAAGGCAGCTAAAATGGAAAAGTGCTACGAGAATTACATTCTAATCGATGTGGGGGCTAATCTAACGAATAAGAAATATGGTAGAGATTTGGATAGTGTGGTGCAAAGGGCGAAAGATTCAGGTATTAAAGCATTGAGATCGGTTTAGTCAGCAGGAGAATGTAGGCAAGTTGTTTCTTTTCCAGGAGTGCAGAAAATAATGGTAACTGGCACCTCAGTGAAAGCTAGCAAAGAAGCATTGAGATTAACTAGGATATATCCAGGAACCTTGTATTCCACAGCTGGTAAGGCCACACTACATCACTTTGAAACTGACCGATTCGTCACAGCTTTTACATATAAAGAAACAATTTCTCAGTACAGATCACTTGCAGGTATTCATCCGCATGATGCAAAGTCGTATGACGAAGAATCATGGCAGGAATTGTGTCGAATAGTGCAAAATACGGAATGTGTTGCTGTTGGCGAATGTGGCCTGGACTACAATCGAAATTTTTCAAATCCTGAAGATCAAAAGGCAGTTTTCGAAAAACATGTAAGTGGCCTTTCACTCATACCACTCATGCTCATTGATCTTACCTGCAGATAAAACTAGCAATTGAGCACAATAAGCCTCTATTTGTCCACGAACGAGACGCTTTTAGCGACTTATCCGAAATTCTGGATAAGTATGCGAATAAACTGCCCCCCGTTTTGGTTCACTGCTTCACTGGGAGTGTGGAAAACGCCTTGGCGTATCTGCAAAAGGGATAATACATAGGATTAACCGGTAAATAGCATTTACAATTACATTTACATAGAACATTTCAAGGCAGATGTATTGTAATTTTCGGTGTGTTTCAGGTTACTTATGTAAAGACAAATCAGATACCGGCGTTCGGAAGCTGCTAGTGGATAATTTGATCCCATTGGATAGGCTGGTGGTGGAAACTGACGCACCGTTTATGTATCCCAATACCAGAGCATCGAAGCTACCTACTAATGTAAAAGAGGGTCTAACAGAACGGTAAGAAGAAGAGGAAGTGTCTCAACTGTTTCATTCTATGGCTCATTAATTGTTCTCTATCGCAAATATTCTCAGCTGTTTTCAAATTGATTTCTACCCAAATTCAGAGGACTTATTTACTCATAGCTTTGAACTGACAAACGTTTCCAAATAGATCCATGACATTCTTACATCGTTACTGCACTTTTCAACGAAACGAGCCTTGTTCATTGCCTGCCATTGTCGAAATGATCGCAGCCTTTATGGATAAGAAGCCTGAAGAAGTGGCGTTAGCAAGTTCCTTCAATGCCATGAAGCTGTTTGGTCTAACGTAAGCATATGAAATTTATTCGAAATTTTACCGTAGTTAAAGATGCGAAAAGCTCAATCAAAAAATTCAGTGGTGTTCATATAATTACGAGACAAGATTGAAAAATGACAAATTGTTATATTATTTATTGTATCTAAATAGAGATTAAACGAAATATATTTTTGGGTCAAACATGTCCTAACTACAAACATTTAACTGTAAGCATCGAATGTATTTCGGCTTTGTCCGATGCGCTTTTTAATGGGTGCTCCTTTATTGCCTCCTTACAAGCCAGTCAGGCTCTTGCTATGGCCATTGCGGCAGCTGGTTATATTAAAGTGAATACAATGACGTTTATTATCTATGTATGTATAGAATAAATTTTAAAAAATTATCGGTTAAGAAACGCGCTTCAGGTTGGATTTTATTCGACCACAATCTAAGGCTTGCCTTTGTCCTAATCCATATTTATTTTTATTTATATACACTATATTATATAGATATATTTTTATAAAATATTTATTTTCGTATTGTGTATTTCACTATGTTGAATAAATAAATTGATGTGCCTTAAAAATGTCTACTGTTTTACATAAACTTTGTCCTCCAATCACAGTTTACTGGAATTTTCTAGTTCAATTACACTAGTAACAGACACGTCAAGAAAATGCGTCTTGTTTATTTGCAATCTTTTGTGATAAGCCCAAACAAGGTCACGGCTTTTGTATTTTGAGTTATCAACGTGCAAACTCATGGGCATCCATGACGTCGTGATAATATAAATGGATTTGATTCCCGTTATAGAGTGGGTATTTTTGATCAACCTTGGCATAAATGCAAAATATTTTGGAAATGCGTAGAGCAACGTTCTAGGAAATGAAAAACTTGCGTTTTGGCAACGCGAGTTAATGGTTCCGAAATAAACATTCACCGGATTTGGGGTGTAAGGGAGTACGAACAGTTTGACCTATGGGGTGAATGCGCTTTTAAGGCTAAAGGTGCTAGAGTATTAATCACAGATAAAGACAAGGATTAATAATGCATAATAACTAATACATCGAATAAAAGTATAAAAGGGTTCGGAAACCAAACCAAAACAAGAAGCAGCTGATCGATAAAGAAGCCTTAGGAACAAAGCAACAAAGCATTTTGCTCAAGGTTGCCATTGCTGTGAACCGTTTTTCCTGAAAGATCTTCGAATGAATAATCTTCCTAAAACTACGTTAAATAACAGTTTTCTCTCGCCACATAATTTATTCGGTACTCATATTGAGACACACAAACGCCAGTGACCCCATATAGAGGGTTAGTAGAGGAATTTTTCAGCCTAGTGCATACTTCCTAGAATTTCTTATTGCGTCGCAACAAACCGCGGCAACATGGCTTGTGATCCAGACCCGGACACGTCATCGCTCCATCAGCTGTTTTTCAGGGCCGCCAACTTACATCTAGAAAAAATCAGATAGCACTAGATAGAAATATTGAAATTACGGAAAAATCAAGCGAAGAAATTTAGAATTGACCAGACCAGTTCTAATAGTTTTCTCCAATGTCTTAGGCAGGTGAAGAATATCAATTATAAACTCCCCCATTGGTGTTAGCTAGCATTTAACGAGCGTTACGCGTTTTGACGTCGAGATTATTCTCGAATATCGTGTGGAGGGGGAACGTCGGCGTATAAAAGCAAGGAGCATTCCACTCTGCAAAAGAAAAGCATTGTTTGCGAGAAAGTGCAAGAGTCAACGTGAAGTCTTACTTGGTATTTTTTGAAGTGTTACTTGAAAAAAAGTTGCAGGTAGGGAGCCCTTTAAAACCAATAAATGCCCTTAATTGATTGAAATTGAATAGGTTTCCCATAGCATTTAGTTTGTTTACATGAAAAATTAATGCTAGTGATTGAAACTCAACCAGAAAAATTTTCAAAAATTGCGTAAGCTACTTCTCTTGTCTAGTCATTTTTGGAAAAACGTGTTATCGTTTATGAATTTTGATCATAAAAAACAATCCTTTCTTTGTTCCATTACTTCACCCAAAATGGCGACGAGGTGCGGTCTAATGACTGCGCAGTTTAAATTTAGATTCGTCTGCTTTCTTCGAAATTAATGAGCATTTGTTTGTCAACAGGATGCAGATCTTCGTGAAAACATTAACTGGAAAAACCATCACTTTGGAAGTGGAACCTTCAGACACAATCGAGAATGTTAAGGCTAAAATCCAGGACAAAGAAGGAATCCCCCCAGACCAGCAGCGTCTCATTTTCGCTGGAAAGCAATTGGAAGATGGACGAACTCTTTCCGACTACAACATCCAGAAAGAGTCTACTCTTCACTTGGTTTTGCGGCTGAGAGGAGGGATGCAGATTTTCGTGAAGACTTTGACTGGCAAAACTATCACACTTGAGGTTGAACCATCAGACACTATTGAGAACGTTAAAGCCAAGATTCAAGACAAGGAAGGAATTCCCCCAGACCAACAACGATTGATTTTCGCTGGCAAACAGTTGGAAGATGGCCGCACCCTATCAGATTATAACATCCAAAAAGAATCCACTCTGCATTTGGTGTTGAGATTGAGAGGTGGAATGCAAATTTTTGTAAAAACCCTTACTGGCAAAACAATTACACTTGAAGTCGAACCATCTGATACCATTGAAAATGTTAAAGCCAAGATTCAGGACAAGGAAGGAATTCCTCCAGACCAACAGAGGTTAATTTTTGCCGGCAAACAGTTAGAAGATGGACGTACATTGTCTGACTACAACATCCAGAAAGAATCCACTTTACATTTGGTTTTGAGACTGAGAGGAGGAATGCAAATCTTCGTGAAAACTTTAACCGGCAAAACGATTACTTTGGAAGTGGAACCCTCAGACACAATTGAGAACGTTAAGGCGAAGATCCAAGACAAGGAAGGCATTCCCCCAGACCAGCAGAGATTGATCTTTGCAGGAAAGCAGTTGGAGGATGGACGCACTTTATCTGACTACAACATTCAAAAGGAGTCCACTTTGCATTTGGTGTTGAGATTGAGGGGAGGAATGCAAATTTTTGTCAAAACTCTTACTGGAAAAACCATTACACTTGAAGTCGAGCCTTCTGATACTATTGAAAATGTTAAAGCCAAGATCCAGGACAAAGAAGGAATTCCCCCAGACCAACAGAGACTGATTTTCGCAGGAAAACAATTGGAAGACGGCCGAACTTTGTCTGATTACAACATCCAGAAGGAATCCACTCTTCACTTGGTGCTCAGGTTGAGAGGTGGAATGCAAATCTTTGTTAAAACCCTGACTGGAAAAACCATCACTTTGGAAGTGGAAGCCTCAGATACCATCGAAAACGTTAAAGCTAAGATCCAAGACAAGGAAGGCATCCCCCCAGACCAGCAGCGTCTCATCTTCGCCGGAAAGCAGTTGGAGGATGGCCGCACACTTTCCGACTACAACATCCAAAAGGAATCCACCCTTCACTTGGTGCTCAGGCTGAGAGGAGGAATGCAAATTTTCGTGAAAACCCTGACTGGAAAAACTATCACTTTGGAAGTGGAACCCTCAGACACCATCGAGAATGTTAAAGCTAAGATCCAGGACAAAGAAGGCATTCCTCCAGACCAGCAGAGGTTGATTTTCGCAGGCAAACAATTGGAAGACGGCCGCACTTTATCGGATTACAACATTCAGAAAGAATCCACTCTTCACTTGGTGCTCAGGTTGAGAGGAGGAATGCAGATTTTTGTTAAAACTCTGACTGGCAAAACTATTACACTTGAAGTTGAACCATCTGATACCATCGAAAATGTTAAGGCAAAGATCCAGGACAAGGAAGGAATTCCTCCAGACCAACAGAGACTGATTTTCGCAGGCAAACAATTGGAAGATGGCCGCACCCTATCAGATTATAACATCCAAAAAGAATCCACTCTGCATTTGGTGTTGAGATTGAGAGGTGGAATGCAAATTTTTGTAAAAACCCTTACTGGCAAAACAATTACACTTGAAGTCGAACCATCTGATACCATCGAAAATGTTAAGGCAAAGATCCAGGACAAGGAAGGAATTCCTCCAGACCAGCAGAGACTGATTTTCGCAGGAAAACAGCTGGAAGATGGGCGCACTTTATCTGACTACAACATTCAGAAGGAATCAACCCTTCACTTGGTTCTCCGGCTTCGTGGTGGCAACTGAAAGGCCTCCAAAATATTTATTTTCTTTTGAGTCGTGATTTTTTTGATTAAATGAATAAATTATACTTTATTACGTTACTTGTGTATTTTAATAGCTGCTTGATAAATTTGTTTAAATTAAAGTTTGCAAAATGTGACGCCGTTGATTTTGAAGCTTGTGATCTTGAAGATTTTTTTGGATCCCCGTTCTAAACAAAGACCTTAATAAATAGGCCAAGCTAGTCATTCATAAATCCCGATTTGTGTGGGACCAACATTAAATTCTATCGATTGGCGATTGATCAATGAAAAACAGGTGGTAGGGATAAAGTAGGTACCGAGCAACGAGTAGAATTAATCGGAAAATCAACTGGCGTCATAGGCGTAGTAAACATCAGTATTAATCTATTTATTCTAAGCATGAAAGATTCACTCATTTTCTGACCTTTTTCTCTACATTATATGATTGAAATTATAAACGCAAATTTTTTAAGCTTTGATAGCTATTTAATAGGGATCTAAATCTATCTCTAAACTTATAAATTCAAAACAACACGCCACTGGCCTCTGTTTACAATCGTGCAAAACAGTACAGGTTAGGAAAATTCAGGCCGCTTTTCCTGCGAATGAAACCACTTCGCACAATTTCTTTTAAGCGTAACAGTTTATTAATATCACGATTATCACTAAAAACTCGAGAAAATGCCGTATTTACTTGTCCAACAAATCGTATGTATCCCCCTTTGCGCTGTTGTCATAATGAATGTTTCATTGTTTCCTGGTAATTACCCCCAAAAATGTTGGTTATTTTAATGACATTTTGAAATTTAATGACATTGAAATATATTCATGGCTACCGTTTTCCTGCTATTTTCTTGTTGATGCCACTCATATATATCAAATTGAATATCGAGCCGGCAAAGCAGCCTCGTAAGTACCTACTTTTATATAGACTGTAAACCACAGACTACATACTATTGTAAACCAATATTGCTCTCATAGAAAATCGTAAACAAATGCATCTATTTAATATGAGGTTCCAAAGCATTTATTCGAACTGCCCATTGAATTCTTTGTTCACAATGTTCAATGAGTTCTTTGGCCTCAAAGAAGTTTTTCAATAGACAAGAAATAATCCCTTGTTATCCCTTGTCTCTGTTTTTCAATGGCGCGAAACTGGCAATACAACAGTCAAGCGTATTTTGCGCAGGTTCATAGCTTGAGATCTAATTTCACAAAGAATAAAGCAGGCTATAAGGAGTTATCAAAACTTTTAATTTTACAAAACGACGAAGTCGTTCTAAAGTAATTCTTTGCTAAAAACAATTCAGAAATGTATCTCGTCCGCTTTGCTCTGCTGCAAAAGGGCATCGTAAATATGCTCCGGATTGTCGAAACGCTCCACCCAGGACTGGATGAACCCCTCGATGGAAGCCCCATATTCTCTAAGTTGCACCTTTGAGTTTTCCACCGTTGTATTTGCTTGAACAAAGATCTTTCTTGGCTGCTTTTTTTCCAAGACAATTGATCTCCAACCAAGCCAGGGTTCGTTCACTTCAGAGTAGTGGTCGTACAATGCCTTGGCGGCTTTCACGTTTCCTGTGGCTTTAAAAACTTGCAGCTGCAGCAGGAAGTGCCCAATTGCGCAACGGCCTGCTCCTTTAATCGCCGAACGGTCCAGAGTGATCAGAAGGTCGCCTTCGCTTGGTTGGGTTACTTTTACAACACCCGCCTCAATTAGGACTTGGGACAATACGTATCTTGCCTGCAAGTGGAAGCAATTTTTAAAAAATTTCCCTAACAACAGTAGGGGGCACAGTTAAAGCCGGCGCTACACGATGCTAAGAACACCAGAGAGAGATGAGAGATGAGCTGAAGAGCGATTTCAAAATCACTGTTATAACTGTGAATGTGATTTTTTTTACCCTGTGAATGTGATTTCACTTGAAGTTGCCGTTTTCGTGATATAGGAGCGTTATAAGGTGATGCCCATTGTGCCTCACTTGCAGAAACAATTTTAAAACTTTTGTAATTATTTTTTTAAATAAATAACCTAATTTAGGTATACAACAAATAATACTTTATACTTAAAGTACAAATGATTTTAAGGATACTAAAAAATAACAATAAAATTCAGGCTCAAGGGAACCCGTCGATGCAAGCTTTCATTAACGATTTAACGAACAAAAGAATTTTATTTGGGTTTGTTCTTTCGCCGGGCCACATTAGCAACATATGATCACTACACGTAACTCGCAACAGTAGCGTTTGAAGCTACAGCTGCAAGCTGCGTAGCAGTAAAAATATAAGTCGCTCTTTAATATCAGGTTTGTGTCAATCACGTTTTAGATTATATTTTTATTTATTGTTATTGGTATTTATTAATCGATGTGAAAAATATCACAGGTAGTGATTTGTTGCTCAATTCAACTTCAAACCAAACATTAGTATGAGCCGTATGGTCTTGCAAGCCCCTCCCACAACTCTTGCAAAAATTTTGGTATTGCAGGACATGGTCTTGGTCTTGCTCTTGCATACATAGTTTTGGTCTTGGGCTTGCAAGACCAATGCCAGTCTCTTTCATCACTAATAATGTTTTTCAAACAAATTTTATAAAATGTTTAACGGGATGTATCACCATTAATTATAATTAAAAAATACACCCCTTTGTAGAATGAAATCAACAATACTTTCAATTTAATTTTTGACTACGCGGTTAAATCCACTAAAAAGTTTATGGAAAACAAACTATTTCGAACCAATCGTGAAGCTGTGCATCAAATCAACGAATGTTTACTTCGAGGGTTGCAACAATGCCTTTGACTCGGTCAAAAATAACGACAAGAGCCGGAACTTGCTCCAACGCGAACGTTAGAGGCTCATCATTGGAGCTCTAGATCGATGAACCGTCAAGCCTCCAACGTTGGAGGGTGTTCGTAGCATCGTGTAGCCCAGCATTGACTCGGTCGAAAATACCGACAAAGGCCGGAACATGTTCCAACGTTCGCGTTGGAAGCTCGACATTCGTAGCGCAAAGTTCGAAAGTCGACCACACGATGCGATGAACCGTCAAGCCTCCAACGTTGGAAGGTGTTCGTAGCATCGTGTGGCGCCGGCTTTACCTGTGCGTGAGCCTGCAGCCAGCCTCGACCAGGCTCCCATAGCTCCAAACCACGCCCGGCCCCACCCCAAATCAAGGACAGCCAGTTGACATACAGCACTTCTTCAGCCTGACTCCCTTCATGCCCAAATATTTTCAGCACCTGCAAATAACCGAAGTCAGCTATTTCAGTCAATTGGTCAACATTTGCAGACTTTCTTCTGGTTCCACGCTCAAATACAGCCCGACTGCTTCAGCCCTGCATTCTTCGTAGGTGGAACTCAGAGGGCCAAAGAGAGTATCGTAGGTGTCTCCTGGTTCGTACCAAGAAGTAGGAGGTTTGCCTGGAAGACGCACATCATTAAAAAGCTTTTACTCTTTTTGCTAAATCAGCCGACCTGTTAAAGGATCCAATAAAGTTGGAGGATAGTTGGTAGTACCATCAGCAGCCTTTTGCAACAATTTGCCTGATCCATGACCGAGTAGTTCGTGAAGACCGACCTAAAGAAAATTGGTTGGAAGCTGGGAAATACTTTCGGGAGTATTCAGACAACTTACCTGCAGCTCAAAGGAATGAACTCGCCATTTTTGCAATAAATCTGCATCCGACTGGCTTAGAAACGGAGTTACTGACTGCTGATAACTGGCAGGAATTACGTTTCCAAGGGAAACGTTCTTAAAGCCCTCGGTTTGCCGAATGTCGTCATCTGCAAGAATGATTGTACCAACAGCCCCAACCATTTAGTTAGTTATACAACGTAAGGTACCCACAGTTTGGAATATTGATTCCTGCGGGAATTCCACTGCCAGCGAACGTGAGGACATCCAAAGAAGTAAAATCGGGCTTCAAAAACTCGTCCTTTTCCAGCTCTCGAGTCCATGGCAAGAGTTTGAGGAAACTTTCGGCGTTAGACACCAGCGTAGTGAACTTCCTGGACATTTCTCTGTTAACCTAAGGAAAGACATCAGGTCGCTTTAAAGCTTTCAAGAACGAAATGGAAATGGAAGGAAACTTACTGCAGCCACAAATCCCTCAAATTCGGCTCGCACTCCTGCAGGATCTCTATAGGTCTCAATGAAGCCGATGTAGGTTTCTACTGCTGGCCCTTTGTCTTGGATCCAGTATCTTGAACCTTAGATAAAAAGAACCAATCAGCAACTAATGCTTTTAGTAATTTGAAGGCTATTGGATTTACCCTTTTTATGATCGTCCAAAGAGCCAGTTTTAAATGACGATACGTAGCTTTCCAACATGTTTCTCTCCATGTCATTGGCCGCAAATTGCACGGCTGCTTCTAAGTTCTTCGCAACCTGGCCCATTAAGGACGAATAGTCGCCATAGGTGATACAGTAAGTGGCGTCGCCGTCCTCAAACACTTCTGGATCCTTCTTCTCCTCCGATGCCATGCGAATTTCGTAAAACACTTTATTATTTTTTTCTGTTTTAAACAGTCTGGTATTGTAGCATTCTAATTTGCGCGATTTCATCCAGTTCTGCACACTGGTGGTATCTTCAGGAGTGACATTTTTTGAAATATAAGTCGAACATCCCTGGGGGTGGTACCTTCAACATGAGATAGGGTGTCTTTGAGAAGTAATTGCTTAGGTATACTAACATTCTTACCCAAGGCAAGTCTTACCAGGCCCCAAGTCGTAAATTGCGTGCTTAATGCTGTTCCATATAGCGCTGATACTTGGCCAGCTAAGACTCAATGATAGTAGCTGCTCTAAACGGTTTGGGTCAATATCCGGAATAATTTTTGTATCACCAAAACCCTATCAAGTAAGTGAAACCAAGCTAATCGTAAGCTTAAAAAATGTACATGTTTAGTTCAACCTTATAGTTTCCAGAATTGGCAATAACACCAGCAGCATAGACATAAAAGGCTTTGACTTCGTCCCCAGAAAAGCCAGCTTTAATGGCACTCTGCATCAATTGTTCAGGCTTTTCACAAGAAAGCACCTTGTGCAAAAGCACAAACAGTGGGCCCGATTCTGGGCTGGTCTAAACAACATGTAAATTCAAAACCCGGGCGATTCTATTGGGCAGATTTACCTGTATCAGAGTTATAAGCCCTCCAACCCATGAGGCCTTGCTGATATGATGGGCGTAAAGCCTCTCCCGATCAGTGAGCCCATTGAAAGCAGCCTGAATTTCTAGTTTTACAAACGGTTGGTCCAGGGGCAGCACGTGTTGGGCTTTGTCCACGGATAAAGTCATTTTCGCGCTGCTGACTGTCTTTAAGGGCTCTGGTGCAGGAAAGTTTGTACTTTTCAAAATGGAATCTAAGCAAATAGAACTTACTAAGTTGATACACTATTACGATGCTTGTTTTGCACAGTTTCAACACAATACACGTCTAAACACAATAATACAACAACTCCGTTTAACAGTAATTAGGATTAGAAAAATATGTATTTCTAATTCGGCAGAGGTTAGGGCAGAATCATAGACAAAGACACAGATAAAGGCAAGTGGAATGATTAGTGACTTGGAGCTTCGCGATAGAAAGTTTGCCAAGGATGCCAATGGATGTTAGTGAAAGTTCCTTGGTAGGGAGGTACAGTTTCAAGACCCTTCAAAAGGAATTTTCGAGTGAACAATTACCTGACTTACAATGTTTTGTCAGTGATTGAAATGCATTCTTGATATTAAGGAACTTTCGGGGCCCGATTAACAAACACGATTTACAAATGAGGCTCATTACTGGATATTTTCATAATATTTTGAAAGGTGTCTCGAATTCTTCCTGACTGCACAGATGACCCTAGATAAGGACAATTATGCAAGGTTTAGAGGATACAGTGGTCATCATAACCTCTGTATTTGTCTTTATCTATTCCTCTGTGTATGTTTATTATTGGCAGAAACAAGAACTTATCTCTTTTTGATTCTACATAATTTATCTGCAATAAAATGGCCCCAATTAACGCCGGCAATGCGACGAAAAAGGAAATGGCCCTGTTCTTCAACACTCTGAGCTGCTTGGTGAAGAATTTGGAAAAACAGTATATTCTTGTGGATCTCAGAAACGAACTGAGTTTATACGGGAAAGTAATCAATGTGGATGCCTATATGAACATGGAAATGGAAGATGTAACACTGTACGACACGAGAGGTAATTTTTCAAACAATTGATTGATTGTCAGACGATGCGTTATGATAGTACAATTTTTTGGTCAAACAACTTGAATTTTTACCAGCAAAGGTCCATTACTGACTTATTTGAGTTAATCACAATCATTACCATGTTTCTATATGCCTTCACAACCGCACTCCAGTTGGTTTTGTTCCATAGGGCAGGAGAAGGCATTATCAAACTTCTACATTACCGCTAGATGTATAAGGTATGTGCATATGCCTGAAAGGGCAGATGCAATGGCTCTCTTAACAAGCCAGTTAAGTTCGATGACTTCGACGAAAAAAGACAAACAAAAACGGGTTTATAAAACATCACGAGCTTTAAGGAATCATGCAGACACTTTAAAGGATGCATACACCGCAAGCAAGCAGCTAACATGAAGTATAATGATTAATTTCCTTGGCTAAAAAAACCACCAAAACTATAAGAAATGTATTTAATGCTATTTACTAAATAAATATATTTTGAGTGATTACGAGATAAACACACTTTTTAGTTTGTTGCAACTAATATTGTTTAGTCGGCGAATTGCAAACACTACCTATCACACTTGCGGAGAAAACCAGCGAAACATTAGACACTTTTTATCGGTACTTTCTGAAGACAAAATATACAGTTGCAGGATTGCACAATAAAAGTATTGTTGAACTACTTAATACAAATTGATTGTTAAAATATACTAGAGATTATAAAATATCAGTTTAGTCTTACAGCTATTTTGTACATTGCAATTCATAATACCTTGCCCACAACATAGTGCCAACAACAGCATGTGTGCAATTATTCACGAACTGCAGCAACAACGTACCAACTTATCCGAAATACAAAAAGGCTGCGTGGTTACTAAAAGAAGGAGCAAATGTATTTAAAACCCCAACGCTCATTATGGTTCAGTGCGTACCTTTTACATCAAGTTATGACCCATGTTTTGTCCAAAATTCGGAACCACCGTGACTCCCGTAATGGTCATTTGCGACTGCGGCGGAAACGTATATCTTTGCCATTGATCATTGCCAAAAGTCTCAACTGTTTTGTGGTTTTCCATGTGGCGCATCAGGTAAATCTTCCTATGAATCTTATACGGGCAATAAGTGCACTGAAACATCTTATCCGGGTTCACGTTGTGCGTTTTCCTGTGCTTATTCAAATGTCTTTTTGCAACTGTCGTGTAGTTGCAATCGGGGCAGGATAACAGCGGAACGTCCGGCGAGTCCTTCAAGTGCCTCAAACGATGCTGCACCATATTCGACTTCCTTTTCGTCTCGAATGTGCAAAAATCGCATTTCAACATAATCACCTCTTCCTTGCTCTTGTGCACCATCAGGTGCGACTTTAGCTGCGCGTTAGTGAACGTCTGGTAGTCACAAGAGGGACACTTGAAGATTTTGGCCTTTGAGGGATCGACATGCCGCTTCATGTGCCAAGCCAAGTTTCGCTTCAATCGCGACTGGTACGAACAGTGTGGACAAGGGAACATTGTTACCTCATCTGCACTCCTGTGGTTTACGCAATGATTTTGGAAGTTCACCTGCAAAAGAAGGGATTGAGCCATAAGTCAAATGTATGTGCCAATAAAACTATGTATGTACCTTGCTGTGGGTCTGGAACGGACAATCTGGGCACTTAAACTCAGGGTTGTGAGTCTTTTTGTGCATCTTTAAAGATCGGTCGTTTTTGCTTTGAAATCCGCAAACATCGCACAAGTAAAAGCCATTCTTGAGGTTTACTTGATGGCTTCTCCGATGCTTGACCAAGGCGAACGCCGACTCCAGTTCTTCATCGCACACGTTGCAGGAGTATCTTTTGTGCTTTATCGAGTGAGTTTTTAAGCTGTGCTTGAAAACTGTCTTAAAGTCGCACTGATTGCACTTGTACACTTGGCTAAAATCAAGAAAGTTTACGGCCAATCATACAAAAACTTGTCAGTGTTTACCTTAAGTGGTTTTGATGCATCCTCTTCTTGTGCTCAGTGAGATTGTCTTCAGTTTTCGCTATAAAATCGCAAAGGTCGCAAAAGTGGAACATGATTCGCTGCGGATTCTGGCTCTGGTGTTTCCGCAAATGGTACACATAGTTGCTTTTTATCGATGTTTGGAATGTACAGTTTCGGAATTTACAATCGTAAAGCTTACCGGGCCTACCACCACTAACATCACTTTTACCCTTTGATTTGTCGATCTTGGCCTTAGATTTTGGCTTATCCAGTTTTTCCGCCTTGATGTGAGACCTTTTTAAATGCAAAATGAGATATTGCTTGCTTTTACTGGTAAAATCGCAATCATAACATCTGAAAACATCTGATGGTGGTGGCGGTTCCGGATCCTGCTCGACTTTTACCTGAAAATGCACGGAAGTTTTTTCTATCTGGATGATAGCAAATAATCGGTCTGAAGCACTTACCTCGAGTTTTTCCTTTTCCTTTTTCACTTTCACTTTTTTTCTCGTCGGATGTTCTCGTTCAATGTGCCTCTTCAAGCAAGGCTCCCAATTCGTCTGGTATTTACAGAATGTACAATTAAATAAGCTTGAAGTTATATCGTCCTTTTTTACATGCCTAATTTTCTTATGGATATCCAACTGTTCTCTTGAACTGGTTTCAAAAGAACATTCTCCACACTTAACTGTCGTCTTGTCTGCCTTTGCTTTTTTTACAATCGGTTTTTTTGACTTGTGCGCCTCTAGGTGCATACAGTACATTTTTCTATACAGAGTCTCGAACTTACACTTCTTGCATTTGAGACGCTTTATTGCTTGGTGGCTCCGTTCATGTCTTTCCAAGAATTTCTCGTGCTCAGTTTCGAAATTACACTGCGAGCACTGATATTTTTCGGCAATTTCGTCTTTTACTTCGGCTTTTATGGTGTGGATTTGCATGTGTCGTTTTAAAAATGCCTTGAGGTTCGTTTCGTAGTCGCAGTTGTTGCACCTAAAATTCATGAATTTATAAATGAGTTTATGTTTCACAAGGTTAATTATCCACCGGAAAACCTCATGGACATTTGTTATTGGGCTGTTTTCTGTTTGACTTGCTTCCTCAAGTTTGTGGTCTTTAATATGCTGTTTGATGCTCTCCTCTTGAGTGGTGCCAAAATCGCATGTCAAACATCTGCAACATTTAGATGGGACTTTGTCGAACAGTACAACAGAAGAGTACATACTTGAACACCTCAGAACACGCTTGGTCATGGCTTACGTTGTGTTGCTTCCAGTTTTGTTCATTTTGAGTTTCATAGGTACAGAAACTCGTTGGGCACTTGAAGAACTCTGTCGTCGGAGTATTGAGGCCTGATCCTTTTATTGAAGCCGAGTCAAATCCATCAGTGTTATGCTGTTTGGCATCGGTTTCCTGGCTGCATTCGTATGGTTGAGGAGCAAAGGGCTCAGAAGCAGGCAACATCAGCCCCGTGTGGGGCTTCATGTAATTGTCCTCGGTGCCAATGTATGCTTGTATGGGCGGATATGACCCGACGGCAAATTGGGTGCTATGCGACAAAACGTGTTGCTTGTAGAGGGCTTCCTGGTCTGTTTGATATGTGCACTGCAGACAATGAAATACTTTGGATGCCATGGCTTGAATTTTGATGTAGGGTTCTTGATGCGATTGGGGAATATACTCCTGAGTATTTTTCTTGTGATGTTCCATGAGGGCTTGCAGACCGTGAGTTAGATTGTGTTGTTGTAAATAGTACTCATGATTGGTGTAAAAGTTACACTGCGAGCATTTGTAAGTTTCTACAGGCAATTGGCGATGGCCGTCTGTTGGGCACTCGTTGTCGGACATTTTCGCGCAGTTTCAAACATTTAAATCGACTGGATTTATGGAAAATCAACAAACTGCTTAGAAAATATCATAAACTCACTTTGTTTGTGACATTCATGTCACTAACTTTGACACCTGACACCTATTAAATAGACAATGGAATTTGATTGAAGCAACCAAACAAACCGGAACATCCCACACGGGAATATTTTGTGCAAACTGGCAACGTTGCTTGCAGTGGGAGGTTAAAAAGAGGAAGTCAATGTCAATTTGGTCGGTTGTTCTGATCTGTGAATGTTATTTCCCGCTAATTTTCACAATTTGTTGTTTTACATTAACTAGCACTTTTACTGGTGTTTAGTTATTTTCTGCAAAACACAGAATGCCGTCACCCAGATCTGAAGGCTCGCGAACACCTCGAAGGGAAGTGGCAAGGACTGCCAGAGCCCCCGGTACCCCAAGTTCAGATGGCTCGCGTACACCTAGATCTGCAGCAGGTACGAGGGCAGTGTTTATAGAAAAAAGTTCAGTGGCATAAGATTTAAATATTAGGCTCGCGTACTCCACGCCATGGGTCGCGTACTCCCAGTAGGGGAGAGATTCCAGAGACGCCCTCCAAGTCACCCAGAAGACAAACCCCTGCAAAAAGCGTGGATACTCCTATGCGCTACGGTATTCGCAAAGGAAGCATTGATGGCGAGCAGGAAATTCCTGCTTCTCCCGCCCATAGCCAGGCTCCAACTAGTCCGGGACCTGGTGAGTTGCTTGCCAGTTTTGTGCCGATAGATATAAAAGTTATAAACACTGACACTTTGGTATTCCCCGGAAGGTCTGACAATGAGTGAGATAGATCTGAGCTCTCCATTAAATTATGGAACTCCTAGTTCAATGGGATCGATCAGAACGCCCCGATCTGGCATTAGAGGCACTCCCATCAGAATGCGGCCAGATGTCCGCTCTGACAAAAGGATACGGCAAGTGAATGTTGGAGGAGACCTCCCAGTAAGGCATTTAACAGTTAATCGCTGCAATCCATGAGGCAACTCTCTGTTCCAGTTGGACGCAATTCCCGAAGACAGTGAGACGGACTCCACTGCCCCCAATTTGGTTATATGGGGCACCAATGTGTCGGTTGCCGAGTGTAAGGCGAAATTTAAGCAATTCGTCCTCAGATTTATCGACACCAATGCGGAAGAAGACGAGAGAACTGATGACATGATTCTGAGCGAGCCGTTGTATTTACAAAAACTGGAAGAGGTAAAAGAGGCAATATTAGCGTATTACCCCGCTAAGGGCAGGTTTCTATTGCAGATTCATACGTCAGAAGTACCGTTTTTCAATGTGAATTGCACTCACATCGAAACATTTGATACCCGTCTATACCGGCAGATGATTTGTTATCCCCAAGAAGTGATCCCCACCTTCGATATGACCATCAATGAAATGTTCTATGAACGCTTTCCGGCAGCTGTGTTGGAGCACCAGATTCAAGTCAGGCCGTTCAACGCTGAGAAAACGAAGAATATGAGAGCTTTGAATCCGGAAGGTACTCGAGCCGTGCTCCCTCCTTGTAAAAAATGCTACGTTATGGCTTTTCAGACATCGATCAACTAATAACCATCTCAGGAATGGTAATCAGAAGCTCGAACATCATGCCGGAAATGCGCGAGGCCTTTTTCAAGTGCATCGTGTGTCAATTTACGGCAACAGTTGAAATAGATCGCGGCCGCATTACGGAGCCGACGCTGTGCTCTAGTTGTAACACCAATCACTGCTTTACATTGGTGCACAACCGGTCTCAGTTCACCGACAAGCAGATGGTGAAATTACAAGAATCCCCAGGTGATTTTAAAAATTCGGTAAGGAAAATTCTTGGTTTACTAATTTGTATTGGATGCAGATGATATGCCAGCCGGCCAAACGCCGCATACGGTTGTTCTTTTCGCGCACAATGACCTGGTCGATGCTGTGCAACCAGGTGATCGAATCACAGTTACTGGTAAGAACAGTGAGACAATTCGTATCAGTCGGTGCAAAACAGCGGCATTTTCCTAGGAATTTACAGAGCGCAGTCCATCCAAGTGAACCCGAAGCAGCGAAACCTAAAGGCAGTCTACAAGACTCATATTGATGTGCTGCACTTTAGGAAAGTGGACCAGAAGAGGCTATATGAAGAAGAAGATGGGTAAGTTATAGGCTTCTTACCTGAAGAAACCGGGAACTCAAATCATTGTGCTGTACCTATCCAGCAAGGACCACCGATTCCCACCGGAACGCATCGAACTGCTGAACATTCTGGCCCAGAAGCCCGACATTTACGACCGTCTGGCCAGGGGTATCGCGCCATCAATCTACGAAAACGACGATGTGAAAAAGGGCATTCTGTTGCAACTATTCGGAGGCACGAAAAAAAACTTTACCACTTCGGGAAGAACCAATTTCCGGGCCGAAGTCAACATCCTTCTATGCGGGGATCCAGGTGAAACTGCCTCTAGGTGTCTTTAGGTTCTCGGCACTTAGTCTCGATTTTAGGTACCTCAAAGTCGCAGCTTTTACAATACGTCTACAATTTGGTACCTCGAAGCCAGTACACTTCAGGAAAAGGTTCTTCGGCAGTTGGCCTCACAGCCTACGTCACGAAAGACCCCGAGACTCGGCAGTTGGTGCTGCAAACTGGTGCTTTAGTGCTGGCGGATAACGGCATTTGCTGCATTGATGAGTTCGACAAGATGAATGATTCGACTAGAAGTGTCCTTCATGAGGTACAGCCTTTCTGTCCATCTGAGCTCGTTTGTTGAACTGTTCGCTTTCTAGGTGATGGAACAGCAAACACTGAGCATCGCCAAAGCGGGGATAATTTGCCAACTTAATGCCAGAACCTCGATTTTAGCGGCAGCCAATCCAAGCGAGTCCCAGTGGAATAAAAACAAGACCATCATTGAAAACGTCCAGTTGCCCCATACACTCCTGTCCCGGTTCGATTTGATCTTCCTGCTCTTGGATCCGCAAAATGAGCTGTTCGATCGCAGGCTGGCCAAGCATTTGGTCTCGTTGTATTATAAAACGCGGCAGGAGGAAGACGACGAAGTCTTGGTACGTTTTGCACTCTCAACTATTTCAGCGGGCAATAGTTTGCAACTGTTTTTTTGCACCAGAACATGTCCATCCTGAGGGATTATATTTCGTACGCAAAAGAGCATATCAGCCCCAAGCTGGGCGAGGAGGCTTCTCTGCGTCTGATCCAAGCATACGTGGATATGCGCAAAGTGGGGTCTGGCAGGGGGCAAATCTCCGCGTATCCTCGCCAATTGGAATCCCTGATTCGACTGTCTGAGGCTCACGCCAAAGTGCGCTTTAGTCACGTGGTGGAGGTTGAGGACGTTGAAGAAGCTTGGAGGCTAGTGAGTTCACCTGTAAAGTAACGCCATTTAATTGGTCGCATTTAGGCTGCACAGAGAAGCCCTGAAACAATCAGCAACTGATCCCTTATCGGGAAAAATTGACGTCGGTATTCTGACGACGGGACTAAGCAGTGCGGCACGGAAGCGCCGTGTTGAGCTGGCGCAGGCTTTGAAGAAACTCATTGATGATAAAGGAAAAGTGCCCACTATCAACTATCAAAAGCTCTTGGAAGAGCTGAAGGGGTCATCTCAAGTGGTAAGTTCAAAACGGGGGTTTGCACACTTTGAACTAGTTCAACGTTCAGATCATTGAGGATATTTTTGTGCAACTTCCAGATGATCACTCGGGAACAATACGAGGACGCCCTCAAGGATCTTCAAGATGATGGCCTTATAGTCGTGATGGGAAAAACCACGATTCGAGTTTGTAGCAATAGGGATTAGTATTTTTTGAGTACCTTGTTTCTCTCCTCTCTTTTGTACTTAATTTTCCAGTAAAAATTTAAAAATATCTAGCTTCAACTACAGAAGACAATTTAATGAACTTAGGCGATTACAAAATATACTTACGACTACGATTAACATAAAACCTGCTCGAATCACTTGCCGATTGTGCCCGAAATCATTTTCTTCATCATAGAATTGAGGCGAAAGTTGACCTGCCTCAACTGGACTTTAACAGTTTCCAGATGGTCGGCGGCTGCTTTGTTGTTGGGCTCTATTTCTAAGACGGTGGATAGCGCTTGATGGGCTTTTTCAAAGTCTCTTTCATGCTCGTACGCCACTCCGATTTTAAACAGAGCCTTCACATTGCAGGGGTTTAGAGCGAGAACTTTTTGACAAAGTGGGATTACGGAGTCAAAATTCTGGTGCCTGAAGTAGCAAGCAGACATGTTGTTGTACAGTGTTTCCTTGAGTAGCTGAATATCGCTTACATTGACGCTATCTATACAGTCTAGGGGCGTTTCAACCGAAATGGGTATCGAGCAGAGCACCCTAAATGCTTTGGAAAATCTATTGGCTGCTTCAGTCAGGAGGTTTTCCTGAAAAAGCTGTTTCCCCAATTCTTTACGTTTTACCGCCATATCGAACTTTTTTGCAGCATCCCACTGATGAATAAAACCTCCAAAATCCAGCTCTACTAATTCAATTGTAAGATCGATTTCCTCTGGAGTCATTTCAACACGAAAGTGAGCTTTTTCACTCAAGTGCATAGAGCAGACACAAGCATCTACAAGTGAGCCGAACGGCCCGCCAATTTCACCAATAATCAGTGACTTTCCATCAAAAACCATCAACTCAAGCGGGCCTTCTGCAATGTTCAACCGAACACCACTGCCTTCGTAAGGCTTTGCGCCCCATCGACCCGCAATTAGGGTCTCTTTGCGTATTATGTAGCCAAACGAACCCCCTATTTGCAGAACCATGGATCTGTTGGCCTCTCCTTCCATATATTGGCAGGGCGGTAGAGTGGCAAGTCTAATAAACAGTAGTAAGTGTAATTGTGGAACACTTTGGCAGGATCTTTGTAAGTTCCAAATAGTTCTAGAGGCGGCACGACTCTACAATTGCTGTAGTACTTTCCCCAAGTTGCTTCAGGAACCAACAGTGTGTGGAGTATTGTCTGGCACCCCTCCTGAGGTGTTTTACGTGCCAATTGCCTGAAAAGCTTTTGTAGCGGGAATAGCCAGCTATTGGAGTGCTCCTGGAGTTCCGGATTGGAATAGTTTCTGTATAACTTTGTCTCTGTATAACCTGGATCTGCGACGTTTATTAGCAAACCCTTGTCTGCACAAAAAGGTCAATTTAGCAAAAATATTTACAAAAGCGCTAATGGTTTTCTTACTTCTGGAAAACCGCATAGACCGACCCAGATCGATCGTAAAAAAGTTTAAGAGTAACTTGGAGACTCCATAAGCCACCAGATGCGAGCGGAGCTCAGACTGATCATGCAGGATCGCTAGCAGATCATTCACACGGACTTTACGATGCGCTTCAGATGAAACGTTAACCACTCGACAGCAATTTTGTTTCTTCAAGTGGTCCAACAGATAATGGGTTAGAACAAACGGCCCTGTAAAGAGGCTTACATTTGAAACACTCCAAACGACAGTGTGATGGAGTGTTACCTAAATAATTGGTCTGGAACGTTACGTCGTATCGGTCGTCAGTTAGTTGCTGTGGATGGTAGAACACGCCAGCACAGTTGACCAATGCGTAGATCTGGGGAAACTCCTTTTCGATTGTGTCTGCAAAGCTCCTAATCGACTGAAACGAACAGAAATCCAAGTGCTTCACAAACACTCTCAGCGACGGTCTGTTCACAGCTTTTGCTATTTCCAGTTTAGCTTTGGCCCCTTTTTTAAGATCGCGACAGGCCAATATCAGCGTACCACCTGAGGAGCGAACATCTAAATCTGACGAAATTTGCAGCCAAAGTGTTACCTCGCAGTCCCAACTCAATGGCTAAGGCTTTGCCGATGTCCGAATTACCTCCAGTGATAATCACTGGTCCCAATCCATGCAGTGTCTTTGAGCAGGTACAAACGCCACCTCTGAAGTACTTTCTACAAGAAAAAACTTTGAAAGTCACCTTTTGCGTGATGGCAGGATACTTACATTAGGCCGTAAGTAACTGAACCAATAAAAACCGAACTAGCCACGTATTTCCACAATTTGTTCATTTAAATCAGAACTAGCTAGTGAGACGTACTGAAAAAATATGTCCAATTCTTTACCTCGTACAAAAACCTTAAATCGGCATTGGCTGAAATTATTTTTTTTATAAGATTCTTTGAACGTAAACATTCCTTTTACCCATTTATTTATTAATTAATATGTAGTCTGTGATTTTACCATTGAATAGTTTGATAATCTGCAAAGATGAAGCATAGATGAAGACAAGATACATGTACATACAAGTACATGAATACACAAAATATCCCCCCTGGGGGGTATGTTCTGTGCATGAATACAAGAATAGTATGTAGTCTGTGGACAAGATAATCTGTGCATTTAATTAAACATACATCAGATCAACACAGATCACAGAGGTTACTCTACGGATACTTACTCCCGGTTTTTTTTTTTTGGTTTGCCCGGCGGCTGTAGGAATAAAAATCTTCGCGAAGACACCCAGTGTTCCGAACCCTGGGTAGTGTTGAATTCTTACCAACTAAAAAACATCCTTTTTTGTACTACGAGTTTTCGGGAGTTATCTATACAATTAAAACTTGTAGTCCTCTCTAAAAATTTGTCAGCGCCGGCATCCGTATTCCATAGCATCGCATTCTCTCCATGCTAGCTGCTTGCTAGCATGGGCATCTTATTAATTTACACCTTACTTCTATGTGCATGCTAATTACTACCACAGATTACAGAGTACCTCATGTACCGTACTCACGGAGGTTACTCTACCTCTGTGATCTGTGGTCAAGTCAACTGCCAGATATGTGCCAGATTGCTGAAGTTGATGCAATAACTGCCACACATAGAGAAAGTAAAATAATTTATTTTACTTACTCTATGGTGCCACAGAACACCTCTGAACTGATAACTGCCGGCTGTTTAATCAAAATCAACTGAAAGTCGTGTGAAACATTCTTTGAAAATGGTGCTGGATCTCGACCTGTTCCGTACGGATAAAGGGGGCGACCCCGACAAGATCCGAGCGATCCAGAAGAAGCGCTACAAAGACGTGGGTCTGGTGGACGAAGTGGTGGCCAAAGACACGCTGTGGAGGCAGCTGCGACACAAGGCGGACAACTGGAACAAGCTGAAGAACGTGTGTAGCAAAGCCATCGGCGAAAAAATGAAGAACAAAGTGGCCCAGGTGGAGGGCGAGCAATCCGCTCTTGAGGAAGTAACCGCCCAGCTGGACAGTCTGACTCTGGACACGCTCAAGCCCCTGTCAGTGGCCCAGATCAAAAAGGTCTTTAATTGAGTTGCTTTTGAGGTGCCGATGTAGTTTAACAGTCGGTTGGAAATAGGTAAGGACGCTGATTGATGACGCGGTGCTGAGCAACGACAGCGAACTGTTAAGGGCGGAGAAGAAGCGAAATGAGGTGTTGAAGGAAATTGGGAACCTGCTGCACGAGTCTGTGCCAGTGGACGACAATGAGGACAACAACAAAGTGGAACGCACCTTCGGGGACTGCGAGATCAGGAAAAAATACTCGCACGTCGACCTGATTTGCATGATTGATGGTGTCGACACTGAGAGAGGCACAGTCGTCTCAGGTAAGAGGAGCTCCAGGTGTCAAAAAATATTTAAAAAACATAACAATTTGCAGGCGGGCGCGGTTATTATCTGACGGGACCTGCGGTGTTCTTGGAACAAGCCCTCGTTCAATTCGCGTTGCGGCAGCTGCTGGTCAAGGGCTACAAACCCTTGTACACGCCCTTTTTCATGAAGAAAGAAATCATGCAAGAGGTGGCTCAACTGTCTCAGTTCGACGAGGAATTGTACAAGGTAACAATGTGAATTCCCGAAGGTAGCGCGACTCAAAGCCACCACTCGGCAGGTGATTGGGAAGAGCAGCGAAAATGCCGAGAGCAAAGAGGTGGATGAAAAGTATCTGATTGCGACCTCGGAGCAGCCAATCGCAGCCTTTCATCGCGACGAATGGCTTCCGGAAAGTGTGCTCCCCATTCGGTACGCCGGCTTGTCCACTTGCTTCCGGCAAGAAGTCGGCTCGCATGGTCGAGACACCAGGGGCATTTTCCGCGTGCATCAATTCGAAAAGGTACGTTTTGCCCCCAATTCATATGCGTTACAACAAGGTTGGCTTCATTTTTTTCAAGTGATTTCAATCATGATTTAAATCACCTGCAAAAAAATCACGATTTAAATCAAAGTTCACTTTTTTTATTTCAACTCAAAAAATATAAAACAGAACACAAATAATTCTAAGAAATGAAAATCAAAATAGAAAACGGTAAACTTAACATGTAAACTTAAACATGTAAACTTAAAAATTAAACGGTATTAATGGTAAACTCAATAACGCTAAAACGGAAATCACTTCTATTTCTCTTCATTTTCGTTATAAAGTCTGAGGAGGAACACTAATTTCCCTCCTTTGTCGATTCCCAATCTGCTCCTGATATAATCAGGAATGAACAAATCCGAATGTGCTGAACATCCTATCGACAGACGCAGAAGATGCAGTCGCACAAAGAAACTGTTTTATAGTGGGCAAGTGTTTCGCAATTTCCGGTTCATCGCTCTGTGATAGCCACCACTGAAGTCCGTTCATATTTTTGAGCACCTCATCAGAAAACATAATTTATTTGAAAGGACTTGAATTTAATAACTAGTGGCAACAATCCCGAGTTTCCATGAAGCTGACTGATCTCCAAAGCCAGATTCTTCTCTTCAGGAGTTGAAGCGTAGTTTTGTTTCTCCGGGCTTAACATGTAAGCAATAAAGTGATAACGTGTAAGAGTTTGCTTATAGCAATGTTGAAACTTCTGTAGTTTCTCTAAAGATAAATTTTGAGATTCTTCAAACTTGTCTTGCAAAAGTTTCCACTGCTCTACGGCATCAGATATTGTGGCATTTTTCTTCTGGAGTATATCCAGAGCAACAGCAATAGGCTTCAGAAGGCT